GATGCCTAGAATCTATGTGGCATTCCACTTGCAATGTTTCATCCACTAATGCCAAGCAACAATGTTACCAATTTATGCAAACATGCACTATGTTGCATTCCACTCCCTAAATGCCTAGGTATGATGCTAGTAATATCACATTATTCATTCAGATTTATGCATAACATGTACCTGTATGTATGGAATCATAACAAACCGAGAATAATTATAAAGACAAATTCTTTTATGACGTGAATTGTTCCAATATTCTTCTGATCTTTCGCTTGTCGTCATTCTGTATTTCAAGTTCACAACCAGTGTCATGTGTACATCGTTAACTTTTTTCCTTGTTGTACGCACCAGTGAAATTCATCCATTTCATTCTTTTTAATTACTAGGTATCGCTGGTCTTGTCGCTGCGCTTGGCTGGGGTGCAATATCTTACAGACGTCACAAAAAGCATGGCATGTCAACATCTATATTTCTAATGAGATTGAGAGTTGCGGCACAAGGCATGGTTGTTGGCGCTATTACGGCCGGCGTTATATACTCAATGGTGAAAGACTTGCGTCAACAATACAACAGAGATCACCACAAATAAAGCATATTTAGAATCACTGAAAATAATCTAGCGTAAATCTCAGTACTGTTTTTTTTTATATCCAGCAGTGTAATTTATGTTGCTTTTATTTTGTTATCAATGACGTTTTTGAACAAATGAGTGGTTGCCTTGACAACTACATCCAGCAACCAGTTATTTATAGTTAGAATGTCATATGAACATGATGCACTTTACGACTGGTAATGTATGTCCATTACGATTCAGACTTGCAGATTATTCTCGGTGAGTCTGACTACTGGTATATTTGTTGTATAATATTCACAATTCAAAATATAACTTCTTACCGGTTGTTGTGGCTTCTATTTATATTTCTTGGCAATAGACCATATTCACAAAATGGCTGTGCAGATCACGTTGAGGGCATGAAGGCCACAAGACTTGTTTTTGCGCACCGAATATATTTCATTCTCTATTGTCATGGAGTTTATTGTTGAATAAGATCTCTGATATTCGGCCATTTTCTAATAAGTTCTATTGTGTTAAGATTATTACAAAATAAACTATAATTTGAGATTTACTATTTTCTTTATTTTGCAGTTTTATTCTAAATTTGGAATATCAAATGATTTAATATCATTAGTCAATATACATCACATGACTATCTGTTCCGGGGCTTGACATTAACATTTTAAACTTGTTTGTCCGAAATGTACATTGTCCAAGTATTTACTATAGTTCAAGGCAAGTGAGTTACTATTCAGTTGTCTGAATGGAAATTTTGCTTGTCTTGAACTATTGAGCTACCCATGGTGTCTAGCCTTTCAGCTCCTCCCATTGGTTCACACATATCCACATTTTGGTTAGTTTTACTTAATGTTATCAAACATTATCAACACTTCGGTAAGAGTTGCTTGTTCCGAGCTCTTGAGTATGGACATCGGAACACTTTTTTCTGAACCGTCTGTGGCTTATTGGCATTCTATTAGGAGCACCGATTTTATTTTTTCACAAATGGTTTTATTTCCTGTGTTTTCCATATTGTAATAACTTTCCTTTCTGTGTTTCTAGTGTGTGATGTGTAATAAATTAATATATTGGCATCATTTTGGTGCCCTCCCCCTCTTATTGGTTGTAATGATATAATAAGTCACATGACACTTTTCATGCTGTATTTTGGTTTGTGTACAAGTGAAAATTTCACTGAACTACTGGAGCTTATTAAAATTAATTTAATGTATCTGAAAATGTCTGTTTTATTTTTAAACTGCTTCATTATAAAATCAGAGTGAGAAAAATAGATTCTGGAGAGAAAATCAAATTCTGAATGAAAAATGCAAGGCGAAAATGCATTTGAATGCGGGGAATGAAAATTGATACAGCAACAACATCCTGGAAGAAACTATAGTAAAAACAGGGAGGTGAGGGGGTAATTTGCATCTTGTCTCCCAGATTTTGTAAATGTAATTCCCCTTAGTGCCTTGGTTATCAATGATGTACATATTTACTAACAAGACTTAAAATTACAAGGTACGAGGGGCGTTCAATAAGTAATGCCTCTGACCTATTTTTCATAACAGGAGATTAATAAAACTTGGCACAGTTATTAGTCTTTCTCTACATAGGAACCACCCAGATTTATGAATTTCTCCCATTGTTTGATGCAGCTCTACAAAAACGGTGTCCAGAACACCCCAGGCTGGTCCTCCAACCACGT